AGACGGCGTGTGCATAGAGCACAGACGGCACAAGAAAACGTCATTGCGTCTCTCACCCTTCAAAACCGGCGACAGTTCACAGAAACGCTCATCGCCCTCACATACACGTCCGTAGACACTCCCCTCCAAGGATGAGATATGGCCTATAGTTCTTTCTCTGATCTCGCGCTGAAAACAGAAAATCAAAGTTAAAAAACCTCACCATCGGGTGTTATTGACAGCATCGCCAAAGCCGGGCGTATCAACTAGCGTCAAATTTAGCTTTACGGTATTCTCGACTAGCTTTACCTGAAAAAAACCTCCACACTTTTCATTCTGTCCACTCGTTTTACCCTCACATCGTACTTTTTGAAGCGCATGTGGTATAGGGGGGAAGGGTGGGCGGGCATATGATGCCGCTCACCACGCTTACAGAAAAGAGAGGGGAGAGTCGAATCCTCCAGCTCGGGCCAACCAGGTCTTCCGCCGCGATAGGTCATCTGGTACCAAGCTCGTCTGGGAGGAAAAATGCCTTATCATGGCAGATTACGCATCTGAAGAGGACTGATCAGCGGCAAAAGCTCTGCCCATCTATCTACTTTTGGATAACACAGGGATAGGGGAGGGGTCGAAAGGGGGAATGGGCTGGGAAGGGCCCTCTACTTAGCTTCAACTGTATTTTTCACGTTTTTTTTTATTTCATAAGTTTCTTACCTCAGAGGTTTGTACCTCATGCATTTGCATCGATTGATGCTCCCCCCCCCTAAACATGACTTCTGAACACATTTAATCCCAAATTAACCCTCGCCAAACCCTTTTCTTTTGCCCGTACTGCTCCTCTTTTTACAACATGCACTTTTGAGGGTCACTGCGTTCACATAACGGGCTGTTCATCATTGTCCCTACACCTCCCCTTTCATGTCCGCGCGACTGGAATGACTCAGTTTTCACCTGGTTTCTTCGCACTCGTTCGAACATAGCGTTACTACTATTGAGTAAAAATAGGTAGAACCGCGAAAAACGTAGAACGATAAAGAAAAAGAAGAAAGAAATCTCACATTCTTCTCTTCGATTCGTACTGTAGAGCCACAAGGTGGTGGTGGAACTTTTAAGTCGTTAATTTCCGCTAAGAAAAGTGTATTTATGAATGTGGACTTGCCTAGTCCACTTCGTCCTGAAAAACTGCGGTTTAATTGGCCCATTTTCGGACAGTTGTTTTTTTGCACTAATTAGCTCACCTACAACCATTAACGTAAAATTAAAGCCATGTTTGATTGCTCTGCGAAATACTTGATTAGGAAAATTAGCAAATCCCCAATAATTCTGTGGTTCAGTCAAAGGTGTTGAACGATGAGAATCATCGAGCTTTGCTCGACTCATTCCTGAAACAGACTAATATTAGCCAAATAAGTACTCTGCAACTACAATGCAAATAAAGAGGCACGTCCATAATAAGCATCAATTTAAAACCCGACGCATGGAGAAGTGACCTTATGAATCGATTTCTCAGTTCTTTGGATACTAGGGGAAATGCTTCGCTGCTAAGAAAATAGGGGCACGCGATGAGTGTGAGTACGGTACATCACCACCGAGCGAAACCTATCAAGGAGTCGAGTTTGGGTTGCTGGAGGAGGTCGTATTGGACTTGAAACCAATATTTAACATTTGCTGCTTTTTCCCTTTTCGTACGAGCTATGTATTCCCTAATTAGCGGTACGGTGCAATAACTGCTATAACAGATTGGCGCTACATGAATAACCCGCGCTCCGCCGACACGCCTCGGCTGACTTCGGTGATAACGACTGCAGTTGATTGGAGATTCAGTCCCTTCATCGCTTCATGATAGAATATCTGATTAAAAATCGCTAACAAGGGAATGGTTTGAACTTCCCATGGAACTTTGAATGGAGACCTAGGTACATCGATAGAGCCTCGAATGCTGATTACGAATATGCAGATTAAAAGTGCTACGGGGACCTCCCAGACGAGATCTGGGTGGTCAAAGTTTGCGAAAAGTCAGTTGGCTCGTAAGCGCTGCTGATCGATTGTCGGGCAGTGCCACCGTGGCCTAGTGGTAACGGTCTCGCTTCAAAGCCAAATGCTTGTGGGTTTGCATCCCGTTGGCGCGAAATTTTTGCTTCGTCTCCTATAAGAGCTTTACTCTAATTTTCGAAATTCTTCCGAGTTTACGGCCCAGCAGAGCAAGTAGATCAAGTAGATCAAGTAGTATGACGTACTCGATCTAGTATGGATTTGGTCACTATCTGCCCTCTCTGAAAATATTACCCATCCGACTATTCAGAATTTTGGCGAGAAACTCGTTCATGGGAGATTTTGACCTCCTGAACACGAATATCACATCCTTTGACGAGAAAACGCTTGTAGGGCCAATTGTGATTCTGGGCAAAACTTCGAACGGTCGGATGGGTAATAAGTTGAGAGAGGGCAGATAGTGACCAAATCCATACTCGATCGAGTACGTCATATACTTGATCTACTTGCTCTGCTGGGCCGTAAACTCGGAAGAATTTCGAAAATTAGAGTGAAAGCTCTTATAGGAGACGAAGCAAAAATTTTCGCGCCAACGGGATGCAAACCCACGAGCATTTGGCTTTGAAGCGAGACCGTTACCACTAGGCCACGGTGGCACTGCCCAACATCGATCAGCAGCGCTTACGAGCCAAACTGAGTTTTCGCAAACTTTGACCACCCAGATCTCGTCTGGGAGGTCCCCGTAGCACTTTTAATCTGCATATTCGTAATCAGCATTCGAGGCTCTATCGATGTACCTAGGTCTCCATTCAAAGTTCCATGGGAAGTTCAAACCATTCCCTTGTAAGAGTGTAGGGAAGTCGGGGGCAGGGGGATGGGAGGGTCGCACTGATATCGACATTTGATCCATCTCCAATGCTAAGTCCTGCATGCTTAGTGAAGCAGTGCTCTGCTGAAGCAGAGGGGAAAGAAAGAGAAGAGGGTCATTATCTCGGGAAGAAGGCGAGTACAAAAGGCTGCACAGCTACAAGCTTTTCCCCCTCCCAGCCCTTCACTCTTTACATAAAACGATGGCAA